GAGTCCAGAGCCTTGGATGGTGGCAGCGGGACCCCCAGGCTAGCGGGTGTGCTCCAGGGAAGGGGTCGGCCGGACGGGAGGCACCCCAGGGAGGCACTCGGAGCCTGGAAGGTGGTCGGGCGCAGGGAGGTGGGCGGCTCAACGCAGGAGCGCCCCCTACTGGCTCGCCACACAGCCCCTGGGACAAGACGCACGCCCAGGCTGCCACAACCCCGGGTCTCTCGGCTGAGTGGTGCGTGACTGGGAAACCCCACTGCTGTTCCCCTGCAGGAGCCAAGGAAGGTGTGTGTCCTTCCACACAGCCTGGCACGAGGAGCGGGCTTTCTTCCCCTGCAGACGTACCTGAGAACCCGCCAAGGAGGAGGCAGCAGGGAGAGGCAGGACACAGGTGAGCCAGAGCCAGAGATACACACACCCCTGGCAAGGCAGCTCAAGGGCCAGAGCTGGGCACTGCCTGAACTGCCCAGGGATGCCCAGGCTGCGCCTGGTACTCTCTTGGTGGGGGCCTCACCCTGTCCCCCACTTCTCTCTGCAGGGTCGTGCCCCTCAAGACAACACACCAAAGATCCTGAATCTCCCCCATGCTGAGCAGGAACAGCAGCTGCATGGCCTCCCCCAAGGGCATCCCTGTCTAACACTGGCCTCGTCTTTGTGGAACTGGCTCTCAGGAACTTTTGACCCCAGTGCTGGGACACACGCGGGTGCAGGACAGGGGAGCATTGGCCTCGGGACTCTGGAGCCCCCCCAGGCTCTCACATGAACAGGCCGGTAGCAAGTGCTTGTCCCGGGGTGCTCGTCATACTCCCTCGTGACCGCTCAGCCCTGGTCGGTCTCCTACAGCCTCCTCCTGGACTCTCAGACCCCTCCGCAGCCCCTTCTCCAGGCTCCTGGACCCTCTGGCCCGGCTTAGCCCTTTCCTGGGCACCAGCCCTTGAGCAGGCTGAAAATACAACAAAGCCGGTAAATCCCCGTCCCACTCCGCCAGGGGCCTTCCCTGTGCGCCCTGCCCCACAGAGGTGTCATACAAGTGCCAGGTCCTCCTGGAGCCCTGCTGCCCTGAGCTGCTTGCCCTGGGGCTGCCAGGGACAGACGGCTGCCCCGCTCAGGCTTAACAGCTCCAGCCAGGGCCCTCGTTCCCCCGTGACACTCATTAGCCCTTGCACCACCTGCAAGCACCTCGCAGGCTGCCAGCACCCTTCAAGGAGTGGGCAAAGCCCAGTACCCCATGACAGTGTGTGTATACATGTGTCTACCATGCACAGCCCCGTGTCCAGCTCCCATCCCGTCTCTGCGGTTGCCCCGTGCAGAGGCCATGGCGAGGCCAGCCCTTGCCCGCATTCACGTCAGCCAGGGCATTGAACACTATGGTGCCATCACCCCAGTACCCCCAAAATATCACCTGACCCAGGCACAGTGGGGGTCACTGCTGGGGTGCGGCTGGGATCTACCCAGGGCCTGTCCTGGGTTGCGGGGGCCTGGCCTGGAGCTCAGGCGGAGGGGGCAGGCACCTGGTGCCAGCT